ATATTTTTTTACTAAAATTTTTCTTAAATTCTACTCTACAAAATAGCTATCTTAGATTTTTTTTTTACATTTTATTTAAAATTTAAAAATAATTAATATTTTTAATAAAATGTAAAAAAATTAATTATTGAGATATAGCTATAGACCTAACGTCTAACTAATATTTAAAAAAAAAATCAGCTAAAAATATTAACTGGATCAAAAGTTATTTAAGTTGTCAGTGAGTGGTGGGCCACCCTGTATAGACTGATGAAGAACATATTGCTTCACCAATTAACAAAATACAAATCCACATAATGATTAACATATGCTAAAGAAATGGATTAAAATGCAAAAGGATGAACTCTATTTTAAGAAAAGTCAATAGCAATAAATTTTTTTTAACTAATGAAAATTAATTACCTTTGCAATAAATTCAATAGCGATGACTGCCATGAATCTCTAGGTCAGTCTTTATCCTGGAACTACAATGGTAGCACAGTCTAAAAATTACAAAAACAAATTAAATTAATATAGCCATTACCATAATATATTATATAATCTACAATCATTTTATTGTAATTGCTGTGAAAAAATAATAGTAATAAAAAATGTATATATATATATATAGATTGTATTGTATAGACTGATGTAGTAGTACATATTGCACCAATAAATAATACACAAATCAAACTAATGATTAAAATGTATAAATATGAAGTCTATTTTGAAAAAAGTCAATAGGAATAAATTTTTTTTAACAAATGAAAATTAATTACCTTTGCAATAAATTCAATAGCGATGACTGCCATCAATCTCTAGCTTAGTTATCGTGGCACAACAGATACCGTCTAAAAATTACAAAATCAAATTGATGAAAACAGCCATCACCATAATATAATAATAATAATAATATTTCTACAATATTATTATTGCAATTGTTATGAAATTGTCAATAACACATTACAATAAGAAAAAAATCAAAAAGAGAATCAGAAATATAAATGTAGTACTGGCAAACAAAAAATTTAAAAAAAAATGTATATATACAGAGGGAGATATATATATAGAGGAAGAGATTATATAGACTGATGTAGTAGTACATATTGCACACCAATAAATGAAATACAAATCGACCTAATGATTGAAATATGCAAAGTAAATCGATTACAATGTAAAAAGATTAACTGTAATTTAAGAAGAGTGAATAACAAAGATTATTTTTAAAAAAATTACAAAATCAAATTAATTTTTACTTCCATTACCATAGTTATATCAATAATTTAAAAAAGAAAATCGTTATTACCACAATTTAATAATTACAATATAAAAAGATAAACTTTACTTTAAGAAAAGTCAGTAATAAATAATTTTTTTTAAAGAAATTAAAACGAATTACCCTTGTAATAAATCCGTTATCCATTAGAACCGATTGGCCTACGGGCAGAGTCATTATTGAAGCATTCCTCAGGATACAACCAACTCATTCTAAAAATTACAAAATCAAATTAATTAATACTGCCATAATATATAATATAATATAATATATTAAATTAAATATATTATATAAAAAATAAATATTCTTTTTTTTAACAAAAGAATTACCTGTGCAATAAATCTAAAACTATCAACAACAATCTCCAGCACAGTCATCAGAGCACAACGGATACCATCTGAAAATTATAAAATCGAATTAACTAAAACTGCCATCACCATAATATATCTACAATATATTATTACAGCTCGGTTATCCGGGCACAACAGATACAATCTAAAAATTGCCATTACCATAATATAATATAACAACAACATTATTATTATTATTATTATTATTATTATTACGATTGCTGTGAAATTGTCAATAAATTATTTCAATAAGAAACAATCATAAAGAGTCATCAATAATAAATGAAATACCTAATAATTATTCGAATTATAATTAAAGCGAGCAAATTTATTTCAAATAAAATAAGTAAAAATCGGTTACCCGTGCAATACAACCGATTATGAATTAGAGCCAGCACTCTTCGGGTCGGTTAGGGTTCGGTGTAAATTTGAATTGCCCTCGTAATAAAAAACTAAAACCATCAGCGATTTCCAGCGTATTCGTATGGGCACAACGGACGCGAGTCTAAAAATTACAAGACGAAAATTAATTTATCGGTGCCATTACCATTTATTTAAAAACTATATTAATTACTGACCGACTAATATTGTAAAAAAAAAAAAAAAAAAAATGAATTACCGGTGCAATAAATCCGTTATCCATTAGAACCGATTGGCCTACGGGGCGAGCCGTTATTGAAACATTCCTCGGGATACAACAAACTCCTTCTGAAAATTACAAAATCAAATCGATTAATACTGGCGTTACAACGATTTTGAAATTATATATGAATTACAATTGTTGTGAAAACGTCAAACGCACGGGTTTTTTGTCGTGTTTTTTAACGAAAAAAAAACGCGTTATCCGTTTGATAAATCCGTTTGTCAGAGATCGTTAGAGCCGGCACTCTCGTTATCGAAGCAGTCCTCCGGGCACACGACAAACGGCGCCGTGTAAAAATCACAAAATAAAATGAGACTGTCACAATATCGACAATTAATAATATAATCGCCATAGAAGTAGAAAATTTACAAAATCACATTAAATAAACGGATACGGTCAATACGCAATATTGAAATAACGACAGAATAAACGACGACGCACAAAACGGCGGCGCGATGGTNGGCGGTGCGATGGTCATAACGAACACGCGTTCGGACGTCGGACGCGCTGATAACGACGAAACGGCGGGAACGCGACGGGCCGAGTGAGAGGCGCGCTCCCTTATTTCGCGTCGTTTTCCGTTCCAGGAAATAGCGTTTTTCGCGAATTTAAGAAAACGTTGAAGGCGAAAAATTCTAACGAAGGTAGGAAAAGACGCGTAACGATAAGCGTCGTCGAACGGTACCGAAAAGGCGGCGAAAAGAGAAAAACGTGAATTTTAAAGCGGAAAAAACGCAAAATCTCTTCCAGGTAGACCTTATTTGATGGGCTTACGATTTTAGTATGTAGCGAGAGACGAGAGACGAGAGATGAGAAAATAGTATATAGCGCAGGCGCGGTTCTAGGACTAAATTTTGGTATGGGCAACAGTAGATTTAAAATTATAGGTTTTAACTGCAAATAATATTCCTCATTTTCCCCCCTTCCCCATACCATTTTTTTAATAAAATTATAGTATTATTATTATTATAGTGTATAGCTTAAAATATTCATATTAATTATAATAGATAGGTAATAAAGATTTTAAATATTAAAAAATAGAGTAATCCATAGTTTTGAACTAATTATGTATAATTAGTTAATTAAATAAATTTAAATTTAACTGTTAAAAACGTTCAGACTGTTATTATATTTGGTTGTACAGGAGGTTGGTCATAGTTTAAACTTAAGTCTAATCCTTTTAAAGATTTTACCAATTGTTTGGTTGGTTCTGGGTTAAGAGCAATACTACTATTTACACTGGTGTTGTCACTAGCTGTAGAGTCATTTGTATGTACTGATGGAGNTTGGGTTGGGTTTGGTTGGGTTTCTATACGCATTTTAAAAACTTTGCACCCCCCCTGTATAAAGGGAAAATGTCCGATTTAAAAAAAAAGGACGTCGAATGAAAAAAGTTTATATAAAGTATTTATTGTTGAAANAAAAGTTTATATAAAGTATTTATTGTTGAAAAATAGAATTGATTCATGCATTTTTTAAAAAGTTATAGCATCATGATGTTAAAAAATGTAAAATATAATAACAAGAATTTTTTCAAAAAAACAGCATATTTTTGCATACGGTAGTCATTTTCACCATGAAGACAAGTCCAGAGGTCAAATTTTTTTTTTTCAAATTAAAGTATATTACATTAGCTTTAATTTAA